TCCCTAACTATTCTACGATTCTATGATTCTACATAAGTTAGACTATTTTTTATGACATATACTGTATGCTACCTCTTTCAGATAAAATACAACTGAGAAAATTTCCAGAAATCACATTTTAGAATGAGATAAAAAATAATAATTTTTACACTTTTTATGCACTGTCAGTTAGAAAGCAGTGATGGAAGACTTTAGATTCAGTTTTAAAATTAATTCTTGTTTTCCAAGATATTTGAAAAGATACTTTGTCTAATTAATTGTAGTTGATGGATTCTGTAGTATCTATTGTCTGCTATGCTAAATGGTAAAATGGAAGTTAGGACAAAATGGTTTTGTTCATTTTTTCACCTAGGAATTTTATCACGGTATCCTTCCTCATCTAATAATTGTTCTTTTGCAGTATTATTCAGCACAGACTAATCTTCTGTCAATGTAGATATCGGCATAAATATATGAAAATGGCAGTGGGCATATGATCAGTATTTTCAGCAGAGTTTTTCAATATCCTTTCTTCTTCCCATGCATGAAGACATTAAGTATAGTAGGACAGCAGCACGCAGTGGCAATTAGCAGTGTTCAATGCCACTGTTTTTCCTTTCTTTATCTTTTTGCTTCAACCATTTGTTTTCAGAAAAAAAAAAAAGCAAACCCCACCTTTCTTTCAGTTTTTCTCTTCTCCTTCAATTGTTTCCTGTTTACTATAAATAAGGATGAGATTAGGTGAAGAACACCTTTTCAGCCCTGTAAGTTCAAGTTCCAAACTACTTAATTTTTCTCTACTGTATTTGAAAATTTTACACATAAAAAGTAAGACTTCATTAAAACAAAGACAATTAGGTATTACTCCCAATACCAGTAGTAGTCAGAGTAATTTTTAATTGGCAAATTGTGTTCATTTTAATGAGTTCTATAACCTATAAACATTACATTATTCTATTATCTATACTATTATAGTATACTATTATCTATAGTATTATCTATACTATTCTATTATCTATATTATAGAATCATAGAATCATAGAATAGTTAGGGTTGGAAAGGACCTTAAGATCATCTAGTTTCAACCCCCCTGCCATGGGCAGGGACCCCACACACTAAACCATCTCACCCAAGGTTCTGTCCAACCTGGCCTTGAACACTGCCAGGGTTGGAGCATTCACAACTTCCTTGGGCAACCCATTCCAGTGCCTCACCACCCTCACTGTGAAGAACTTCTTCCTTATATCTAACCTAAACTTCCTCTGTTTAAGTTTAAAGCCATTACCCCTTGTTCTACCACTACAGTTCCTAACGAAGAGTCCCTCTCCAGCATCCTTATAGGCCTCCTTCAGATACTGGAAGGTTGCTGGGGGCCATCCAGTTGGGATTCCTGGAGGACAACAAGTTGAACAAAAATTTCAAAAAAGTGCCCTTGTTGCAACGAAGGTCTATGGTATCCCATGCTGCCATAGGAGCGAAGTAGTCCTTCCCCTGTACTCAGCACTGGTGAGGTAGCATCTGGAGCGTTGCATCCAGTTTTGGCCACCTCAGTACTAGAGAGAAATGAACTTACTGGAGACAGTCCAGCAAAGGGCCATTAAGATGAAGAAGGAACTAAAGCATCTCTCCTGTGAAGAAAGGCTGAAAGAGACTGTTGAGCCTAAGGAAGACAAGGCTTGGGAAATCTTACCAACATATACAAATATCTGAAGGCAGGGTGCACAGAAGATAGCACCAGGTATCTTGACAGGACAGGAGGCAATGGGCACAGGACATCTCAAATTCAGGAAATACTTTGTTTTACAGTGAGGATGAGCACTTTGGCACAGGTTGCCCAGAGAGGTGGTGGGGTCTCCATCCTTGGAGGTGGTCAAAAGCCATCTGGATATGTTCCTGGGCAACCAGCACTTGGTGGCCTTCCTTGTCCAGGTTACTTCCAGAGGTCCTTTCCAATCTCAACCATTCTGTGATTCTTTGATTCTGTGATTCACTTAAATAGGAAGACACAATAAACTGAATTAAGGAAATATGAGGAAATTTAATAAGTAAATTAAATATTATAAGTAGTTTGTCAGGTACTGTCAAATTACCATTTTGTCAAATGTTTAGTATTTGCAGACTTGTTTTCTGCGCATAAATTCTATAAATCATTGCATCTAAGCTCTCTAAATGCAGCTCAGTGTTGAATCTTGACCAGTATCTGCATGTGGTCTTTAACTTGGTTTATTCATGTTAGCATAGCAACGTATAATGTTTTGGGTTGGAAGGGATCTTGACATATACAAATATCTGAAGGCAGGGTGCACAGAAGATAGCACCAGGTATCTTGACAGGACAGGAGGCAATGGGCACAGGACATCTCAAATTCAGGAAATACTTTGTTTTACAGTGAGGATGAGCACTTTGGCACAGGTTGCCCAGAGAGGTGGTGGGGTCTCCATCCTTGGAGGTGGTCAAAAGCCATCTGGATATGTTCCTGGGCAACCAGCACTTGGTGGCCTTCCTTGTCCAGGTTACTTCCAGAGGTCCTTTCCAATCTCAACCATTCTGTGATTCTTTGATTCTGTGATTCACTTAAATAGGAAGACACAATAAACTGAATTAAGGAAATATGAGGAAATTTAATAAGTAAATTAAATATTATAAGTAGTTTGTCAGGTACTGTCAAATTACCATTTTGTCAAATGTTTAGTATTTGCAGACTTGTTTTCTGCGCATAAATTCTATAAATCATTGCATCTAAGCTCTCTAAATGCAGCTCAGTGTTGAATCTTGACCAGTATCTGCATGTGGTCTTTAACTTGGTTTATTCATGTTAGCATAGCAACGTATAATGTTTTGGGTTGGAAGGGATCTTGAAAGATAATCTAGTCCAACATCTCTGCCATGGGCAGGGACATCTTCCAGTAGATTAGGTTGCTTAAAGCCTGCTCAACTTGATAGACCACAGTAGGGTCTTTCCAGAGTCTTCTCCAGGCTGAACAATCCCAACTCTTTCAGCCTTTCTTCAGAGGAGAGGTGTTCAGCCCTCTGATCATTTTTGTAGCCTTCCTCTGGACCCACTATAACAGGTCCATGCCTTTCTTGTGCTGGGGGCCCTAGAGCTGGATGCAGTACTCCAGACGGGATCTCACAGAAGTGGAGTAGAGGGAGAAAATCTTGACCCACTGACCATGCTTCTTTTTTTGCAGCTCAAGGTATAATAGGTATAATGACAACTGAAATTCCTCCAGTTCTCTAAGGAGGAAGGAGCAGCAGAGACAAACTGCTGTGTAGTGACTGTAACTCCCCATCCTCTGTCCCTTCTACATCACTTGGGCAAGTAGAGAAGCCTGAAGTGACACAATGAAGTTAACTCTTGGAAAGAGAGGAGGAAAGGCATTGTTTTAATGTCTGTCTTTTTGTCCCTATCCAAATTTATTTTAATTGGCAATAAATTAAAGGAATTGTCCGCAAGTTGCATCTGTTTTGCCCACAGTGGTAATTGGTAAGCATTTTCCCAGTCTTAATCTCAATGAGCTTTGTCATCCCACCTGCTGAGAAGGGGTCAGCGAGTGACCGGCTGGGTAGGCATTTAGTTGTTAGCCAAGACTAATCCACCACAATATTCCGAGCCATTAAGTTTAATCATACTTATATTTGCTCATATCATTGTATTAGACAAATCATTTTACTTCACAAGAGACTACACTTATTTGTGCTGTGGGAAGAGTAGATAGGAGTTGCCAGCTCATGAAAGCTGTGCAAAAGACTGTTGAAGTATGCCCTTCTGGTCTTAAAACCCACTTCATGTGCCACGGAAGACTGAAGGAAAGAGTTTGATTTAGATGCACATTTCTTGCTAACTTTTGATTAACTGTGTTAATCTGCTAACCTCATGATAATTTTATTTTAATTTATTACTATGGAGTAATCTATCTGTCAGTGGAACATTATAATACTTTTACCAGTGACCTGTCTGCTGGCATGATCAAATAAACATGCTTTACAGGAAAGTTGTTAGAAAAATTCGAAACAAATATATACTTCTCATGATTGGCTGGTCCATTGGAAAAAAAGCCGAACTATTAAACCCTCCCAAAAAAGCAACGTGTAGTCAAACTGAAGTACACAATTGTCAAATCTTGGATGTAAGAAGCTAAACATAGTCATTGTCTTAATGTGTAGCTACAGATGCTGCAAAGATATGGAGGCCAATACAGGATGTATGTACTTTTCTTGATTAAAAAAAAGAAATCGTCAGGAAGATCATAGTTTACTGTTTATGCATTTTTACAATTGAAAGAAGAGATACTAGAAGACAGGAAGAGAACAGAAAAACATTCTCAAAGGCAAACAGAAGCACAGGTCTGTCAGAAAGTCCTGAATGAGCTTTCTTCTCTCCAGTGACTGTATTGTGTGGAATGAAACAAGCAGTGCAAACTATTTGAATTAGCAATAGAAGAAACAAAACAAAACAAATGCAAGTAAAGTCAACATATTAACAAAGAGAAAAAACATACTTATTCAAGAATACACGTATTAAACATTTTCTTACTAAACTTGCTGTAATTTTTTAAAGAGATGGGCTATTGACCTATTGTTTTTTCTTTTTTCAGTTAGTCACCTATCATGAAAATACTGATTTTTTTTACCCTTTTCTTCACAGCTGTGTCTTGTGGGAACCCTGGCACCCCAGCCAATGGTATGATAATATACACGGATGGAATATTATTTTCCAACTCAGTTATTTATGCCTGCTGGGAAGGATACAAAACTTCAGGGTTAACTACCAGACATTGTACTGCTAATGGGACGTGGACTGGCACTGCTCCGGACTGCACAGGTCAGAAATTAACTTTCTTCCTTTAAAGCCTTAAGGTAGTAAGTCATCCAGCCTTCCTACTGAAAATGATTATTTTGATAGATAAAATAACACATTTCTTTCTCATTCGTCTCTTTCATAATATACATGAATACATGAATACATGTAAAATACACAAATATTTCATATATCTAAAGGGACATGCCCTTTTAAAAAATACTGGATGTTTCCAAAACTGTCTTTTTTAAAGGTGGATACACAGGTAACTTTTTGTGTTTATTTACCTCATGAATATCAACATTAAAGTATAACATTATTCCAAAAATAGCTGTTCCTCTAGCTGTTTCCTTTAGCCTGGAATCATATTACACCATCAACATTAGGCATAATGTGGCAGATCTCACTATGGAGGAAGAAAAATGCCTGTCAAAGCTACCACTAACATAACAGTCTGCAGTAGAGCATACCAGCTTAAGATACTGTATTTAAAAAGCATAATATTTGTCCCAGAAATTGCAATGCTTCAAAAATACTAATTTTTAATTAAAAATTAAAGATTATTTTTGTGAGAAATATATTGATCAAAATTGTTCCTTTGTGCAGTAAAAAACTGACATTAGCTATACGTAGTTCAGTATTTCATTCCATGTTTATTGAAAAAAACCTACCTTTTTTTTTTCCCTCACTAGTAATCAGCTGTGGAGATCCAGGTGCATTAGCAAATGGAATTCAGTTTGGAAATGATTTTACCTTTAATAAGACAGTCAGCTATCAGTGCAATCCAGGATACTTGATGGAGCCTGCCAGTTCATCTACTATGCGTTGTATAAAAGATAGCACTTGGAACCAGAGTAAACCAATTTGCAAAGGTGTGCGTTTGAACTTAATTGTTTTACAAATACTGTTTTGATGCTATATGTGAAAGTCATTAATCAGTGTCTTTATTTATAAAAAAATTGTCAAAATATTCTCTGGGACAATTAATATGAAAATGAACTAAAACATTTAGGTAAGTATTTCTGTAAAATTTGTATTTATTTTGCACATATGCTGTGCTATAATATTAGTTAGAATAGCGACATTAATGACTACTAGAATGAAATCAGTCTTCAATGAAGATTATCAGAGTGCTCAATTTAAAACACTAGGAACAAAGTACCCATTTTCTTTCAGGGGACCTTTTATCTTGGATTAGATGGCCAAAATTCTGTAAAGGGATCCTTTATAGAATTTCATGGAAGCCAAACTTTCTATAAAAGATTCCCTTGTTGCAGTAGTGCAGTCATCATAAATAGCCAAAAGATGCTTCACAAATAGCTAATTAGAAGTGCCAACATAAAGGTCATAGTGGGGATGAGGCTGAAAGACAAATAAGGCAGCCTGGTGAAAATTGTTAGCACTACTACAGTAGCTGAGGGAGTAAATTTTACAGCCTAGAGTGTCTTAAAAGGCCTAGACTGCCAATGTATCTAGCACCGCTTTAACCAATGTCTAAGTCTAGCCTACTAATTAAATTTTGGCATCTGTATTTGACTGACCACATTTTCTGTTGTAAAAATAAATGGTTGAGGTATTTTCTAGTTGTGATTTTTTGTTGAAAGAACTGATGTGTAAATATAAACTTGGTCATTCCAGTTTTCATAATTTTGGGCACTCTTTCAGAAGCTGGAAAACATAAAATTTTTAAAGAGTCGTAGCCACTGACTAACAAAAAAGTCAGTGTCCATCGTGTGCTGAAAACCTTAGAAAACAAGCAGGTGAATTTTAAAAAGTCATATTAAGGACTTCGAAAAGTGCTGCAAAATCAGTTCAAAATACAATCCAAATATTTAGAATTGTAGATTCATAGAAACATATTTATTTAAAGAAATCATATTTATTGAAAACATGTACTTAGCTCAGTAGCCTGTTGCAAATAATAATCAGTAATGAATATGTAATGAAGAGATTCAGAACTAGGTAAGCTATATACTCTTCTGGCTTCCAGCAACTTAGAGCTCATGGTCTTCCTAAATTTAGAGGTTGTATTTTTGTATTTAAAGTGGTTTTCTGTCTATTACAGACTGCTTTGTCAGCACAGGAATGCTTTGTTGGAACTGAACAGTATGAAATACTTTTATTTTTTTTGTTTCAAAAATATGAGTAGATACTATGTTGCATTCTCCTAAACCCTATAAAGTCTTGAAATTGAAACTTCTGTTTTTGTGACACAGCTATTACCTGTGGCCCCCCTCCAACAGTACTGTACGGGAAGGTGGAAGGATCTGATTATCGCTGGGGTGCCAGTGTGAGTTACAGCTGTGCAGAAGGCTATCAGCTATCTAACACAGCTATTCTCTCCTGTGAGGGTCGAGGAGTTTGGCGGGGAGACATCCCACAATGTTTGCGTAAGTTTTCGGAATACAGCTGTGTTGGGCTTCACCAAAGCTACAATCAGTTGTCTCAGGTGATGATAGTAAATTTCTCAAAGTATAAAAAGGACTCAGCTAGATCAGGTAATACATGGATTGCTGCAGGATTCCCCCTGCTTCTTCCAAAAAGCGTATGTTATTATTATGTTGTTGAAATCATTATGAAATTGAGTGGTTGTGCCCATTGAAGGTTATGGTCTTCTTCCTTTCCCCAAAGTCTCCTCCATCTCTTATCACCTAATTGGACCCATCACCATTTGCTTTACTGATAATCTTTTCAAATGTTCTGAATTTATCTTGTGGTGAGCATGATTAAAATTTTCCCTTACACTTTTTTTTTGCTTCCCTGTTTCCATTTCTATTAACAGGCGAAAACACAGATCCTAACCCTTAAGCTCATAGCCTTGATCTCCCTTTTAAATTATTCTTTTCTTATCTGAAGGTGACTACACACCCTCATATCTTGTTTGTATTTGTTTTTCAGCTTCTTCTAAATCTGCCAACTCACCTCTTTCAGTGCTTGAAATCTTGTCAGAGCTCTGACAAACATTTTTCCTTTCGCTTAACTAGGGCAAAAATTTCCAGTCTACTCATCCAAGGGTGACCAACGTGAAAACTGGATACACTTTGAAGCATTGCAATATAGCGTTGTCTAATTTAAAATGACTTTGTCATCCAAATCTAATCAGCATTTAAGTGTCTCAATTAAAAGGTCTATTTTTCCAGGTTAAGTTTTATGCTTATAATGACTATAACAGTATCAGTTAATTTTAAATTACTATCAAGAATTTATCTGAGCTATAGCTACAATCCTACACAGGTAAATGAACATAGCATTTGCACTCATTGTCAGCATGCCTGACTTGCACATAAAACAACGTAGAATACTTATGTTGAAGCATGTTCATCTTTTAATAACATTTTTTTCCCCCTTTTTTATTTATTAGCTGTGTTTTGTGGTGATCCTGGTACTCCAGCTGAAGGACGTCTCAATGGAAAAAGTTTCACCTACAGATCTGAAGTTAGCTTTCAGTGCAGATCCCCTTTTATTCTAATAGGCTCTTCAAGAAGATTCTGTCAAGCAGATGGTACCTGGAGTGGAATTCAGCCAACATGCATTGGTAATAGCACTACTTATGCTGTTTCTACTGAGAATATTCTTGATAAACTATTACAGTATCATTAATCTAGCAATTAGCTTTCCAAATATAGAAAATGTCTGTGTAATATAAAAAGAACCAGATAAATAGTGTTATATTTTGAGTATAAAAATTTTAGGATAAACACAATCACATATGAAGTCATTTGTAAATTTACATGATTGCTTGTCTCCTGGGAATGCAGAATGTCAATAAATGCAAGCAAGTAAATTTGTTCCATTTATTTTTAGAATCTTTTAGATTCACAGAACACTTCTGCAGATTAAAGACCAGATTCTGCCACCGAAGAGTTACAGGCATTTGCCATTAATCGATGCTAGATAAAAAGGTTTTAGAGTTTGTGAAAGTGGTTTGTACAAGCTCAAAAAGATGAAGCATGCTGGGTCTGATCTTTTGAAATTCTGATAAACTGACAAGTATTATCAGTTTCTGATTGACTGATGTGCAACTGATAAGCTTTTAAAAAGCATGTTACATAAGCAGACTAACGGGGAGAAATGCTGGACAATTGTAACTTCCACTGACATCAGCATTTGCTCCAACTTGCAGTGACTTGATAGAGATACTGATTTTGGGGTTATAATAGAAAAATTGTCTCTGATATTTCTAAACAAACACATTTAGATTGGTTTGTGGCCCATTTGTATATTTTGCTGTGGCTGAGATACTGGCTTTGTGGACGAGCTGGCATGGGCACACTGAGAAAGTGTAGGAAGTGTGATTATTTGAAGCTGCCTGTGTTTGTAATTTAAGACATTAACACTCAACACAATTATTTGATACGAATTCAAAACTCCTTCTGACCATAGTTTTTTATAAACTGGGCAATCTATCTTACATCTCTGTTTTGTAACAGAGGCAAGAAGGTTTACAAAAGCTAAATCTCAGATCTGTTGTGAAGAATCAAATTTGAAAATGTCATAATGGCATTTAGATTTTTATTTTATATAGCTGTCCTGGGTTCAGCTACAGCAGT